CCCCCCCCCCCGGCGTAACAATGAGTTTCACTTTAGACTACATATCTATTCAATTAAATTTTTTGGCTATTTGTTTTATTAGGTCCCAGGTTTGCCTGTTCCTATTGAGAACATGATTCTTCGTTATGTCAAATCAAAAGCTGATTGGTGGACAAATGTTGCTCACTACAACCGTGAACGTATAAGAAGAGGAGCAACTGTTGACAAGACTGTGTGTCGTAAAAACCTTGGAAGATTGACTCGCCTTTGGCTGAAGGCTGAACAGGTGAGTTTTACTGATATTATCTGTGGGTTTCTTTTACTCAGAAAAGTGCATTGGTGTTATAATATCTGCTTATTGGAGATAAGCTTGGTGGTAATTCATGTTGCTTTGTGATTTCTTCAATTAACAGGAGCGGCAACATAACTACTTGAAAGACGGCCCATATGTTACTCCAGAAGAAGCAGTAGCTATTTATACTACCACTGTGCATTGGTTGGAGTCCAGGAAGTTTTCTCCTATCCCATTCCCTCCATTGTCATACAAGCATGACACGAAGCTACTTATCCTTGCCCTTGAGAGACTGAAAGAATCTTACAGTGTGGCTGTGAGGTTAAACCAGCAGCAAAGGGAAGAGTTGGGCCTCATTGAGCAAGCTTATGATAATCCGCATGAGGCATTGTCAAGGATTAAGCGTCACCTGCTTACTCAGCGTGCCTTCAAAGAAGTAAGTTTCACTATTTGCAATACATGTTTGAGTGTTAAGGAGCTCAATGTACTGATTTGGTGGAAGCAACTATGATCTTGTCGCATTATCCTAGGTTTATAAAGTTTATGTCCTAAGTATTTACTTAATCCAAATAGCCTAAACGAGATTGAGTAATTGCTGAAAGGTCATACAAGAATCAGAGATATCAGATAGTTAGACCACTCTTTCTACTGCTGCCATACCATGGTCCAGTTGGCCCATAATTTTGCACACAGAAATTTGGTATCATGTAAATTCTGCTGAAAAAACCTAGGTCTATGATATGTTGGAAAAAATCCTTGCTAGGATTAAATTTATATTGGAGTTACTTCTGTGTGTGTGTGTGTTTTTGTTTGTTAGTTAATTGAAATTTGGGTTAGAGAAACAAGATAAGATGTGTGCTCTGATCATTTCCTGGAAGTTGCTGAAGAGAGCCCTTCTTATTTAGTTTGGTAGTCTCTGTAAGAATGTCTTTCTTTAATCATGGACTGATGATTGCATTTCACAGGTTGGCATCGAGTTCATGGACTTGTACAGTTACCTGATTCCTGTTTATGAGATCGAACCACTTGAGAAGATTACTGACGCGTACCTGGATCAGTACCTATGGTATGAAGGTGATAAGCGCCATCTCTTCCCAAATTGGATTAAGCCTGCCGATTCAGAGCCACCACCACTATTAGTGTATAAATGGTGTCAAGGCATAAACAATTTGCAAGGAGTATGGGATACCAGTGAAGGACAGTGTGTGGTGATGCTGCAGACGAAGTTTGAGAAATTCTTTGAAAAGATTGACCTGACCATGTTGAACAGGTATTTGTTGTTGAGAGCTGCTGATATTTAGATTTCATAATGGTTCTCTTTTCTTTTTTGGGTATTGCGTTAACCTAATTTAATTTTTTTGCAGGCTTCTGCGTTTGGTGCTGGACCACAATATTGCTGATTATGTTACTGCAAAAAACAACGTTGTGCTGTCTTACAAAGATATGAGTCACACAAATTCTTACGGGCTGATACGTGGTCTTCAATTTGCTTCATTTGTTGTACAGTACTATGGGCTTGTGTTGGATCTTTTGCTCCTAGGTTTAACTCGAGCTAGTGAAATTGCTGGTCCACCACAGATGCCTAATGAATTCATAACCTTTAGTGATACTAGAGTGGAAACGAGGCATCCTATCCGGTTGTACTCTCGCTACATTGACAAGGTGCATATATTATTTCGCTTCACTCATGAAGAGGCTCGGGACCTTATCCAAAGATATCTTACTGAGCATCCTGATCCCAACAATGAAAACATGGTTGGTTATAACAACAAGAAATGCTGGCCAAGGGATGCAAGAATGAGGCTCATGAAGCATGATGGTAATTGTCATATATGCTATTCTATGTTGTGCCTTAATTTTGACCTTCTGTAATTGGTATATTTTCTGATTACAGGTAAATTTAATGAGAGTTGATTTATTATCATTGTACTGTGAAACTTGACTTTCTTTTTGGTTTAATTCAAATTTCAGTTAATCTTGGGAGAAGTGTCTTCTGGGACATGAAGAATCGGCTGCCTAGGAGTATTACTACATTGGAGTGGGAAAACAGCTTTGTCTCTGTTTATAGCAAAGATAACCCAAACTTGCTCTTCAGCATGTACGTACATCTTTCTGTTTGTTGTCTGTTATAGCTTTTTTGCATGGTGATATCTATTTAGAGAATCCTGTTGAGTACTTGAATGATATTCTTGCGGGTGAGTAGTGATGGGGACTGGATAATTCCATTCGTTGAATTCTACCCCAGAATCCATTGTGTCTAATATCTTGGGATAGGAGTTAGAACTTATTTGTGTCTTAATCTTCCTAATTTTAAACCTGCTAAAAGATCACCGGGATATTCATTCGCGATGAGCTGTTTACGGCTTACTCTTTATTGAAGGGAAGTGTTGAGGATCTTATTTAATGAGCTAACCTTGATATGATTATGTAGGTGTGGATTTGAAGTTCGGATACTGCCTAAGATAAGAATGACCCAAGAGGCATTCAGCAATACAAGAGATGGAGTCTGGAATCTACAAAATGAGCAGACTAAGGAACGCACAGCTGTTGCCTTCTTGCGTGTAGATGACGAGCACATGAAGGTGTTTGAGAATCGTGTTAGGCAGATCCTCATGTCCTCTGGTTCTACAACATTCACAAAGATTGTTAACAAATGGAACACTGCTCTTATTGGTAATATCTTGTCCTGAGTTTCTGCCTATTAATTATTTCAAACCTGAACTTTGGCTCTTGCTAGTGGATCCTTGTCACTAAGGTTTTTGGTTTATTCTTGTAGGCCTCATGACATATTTCCGTGAAGCAACAGTACATACCCAAGAATTACTGGACCTGCTGGTCAAATGTGAAAACAAGATACAAACTCGTATTAAGATTGGTTTGAACTCTAAAATGCCCAGTAGGTAAGTTCTTGAATACGTGTGAGCGTATGCTGAAATTATTTGAATTTTCAGTAAATGTGTTTTCTACATCTCTTCTAATGATGAATATGCTTTAGGTTTCCTCCTGTTATTTTCTACACGCCAAAGGAAATTGGAGGGCTGGGAATGTTGTCAATGGGTCACATATTGATCCCGCAGAGTGATCTTAGGTATAGTCAGCAAACAGATGTTGGTGTGACACATTTCAGAAGTGGAATGAGCCATGAAGAGGACCAATTGATTCCAAATCTGTATCGATACATACAGGTGACTTTTGATACTGGCTTTGACTTTTCTCTTGTCTACCTAAATTAGTTTTACTAATACTAATTTATTACCCTGTGACAGCCGTGGGAGAGTGAGTTCATTGACTCTCAGAGAGTTTGGGCCGAGTATGCTTTGAAAAGGCAGGAAGCCCAGGCACAGAATAGGCGTTTGACTCTTGAAGATCTGGAAGTGAGTAATCTTCCTATATTGATAACTTCCTCTTGCATCCAGACCAGTGAAATTTTTCTTAGCTGTCTGCTGTACTTCTTAGACAAGAGGGGTTGCTCTGATGGTAAGCAACTTCCACTTCCAACCAAGAGGTTGTGAGTTCGAGTCTCCTCAAGAGCAAGGTGGGAAGTTCTTGGCGGGAAGGATGCCGGGGTCTATTTGGAAACAACCTCTCTATCCCGGGTAGGGTTAAGGTCTGCGTACACACTACCCTCCCCAGACCCCACTAAGTGGGATTATACTGGGTTGGGTTGTTGTTGTCTGCTATACTTCTTAAGTGGTTTGTAGACCGAGGCTAGATACATCATTTGTGATATCTGGAATTTCCTTCCATTGTGGTGCCGAAAAGAAAACTACAAAATACAAAAACAAATCATAAGCTAGTTAGCATTTTGGGGGGGAGGGGGAGGGGGAGGGAAACGGGAACTTGCAGCTTTCATGCTATTTTGGCAATTGAGTGCTTGCTGGTTTTGTTAATTTTCCTCTCTTGTGATTCATTAGGATTCATGGGATCGTGGAATTCCTCGAATCAATACATTGTTCCAGAAGGATCGCCACACCCTTGCATATGACAAAGGATGGAGAGTGAGAACAGACTTTAAACAGTACCAAGTTCTTAAGCAGAATCCATTTTGGTGGACACACCAGAGGCATGATGGAAAGCTATGGAACCTGAATAACTATCGTACTGATGTGATTCAAGCTCTTGGAGGAGTTGAAGGAATTCTTGAGCATACATTATTCAAAGGAACATAGTATGCTCTCTTCCTCATTGCTCTTTGTATTTCTTTTAATATTATTGGGGAGCCAAAATGTTTTACTCTCTGAACTGGATTGTCTGGTCTCAGTTTGCATAACCTTTTGGTGCAGGCTTTACTAACTTGATTTCCTTGATATTTCAGTTTCCCTACTTGGGAGGGTCTTTTCTGGGAGAAAGCTTCAGGTTTTGAGGAATCTATGAAGTACAAGAAACTGACTAATGCTCAACGATCTGGGCTTAATCAAATCCCTAATCGTAGGTTTACTCTGTGGTGGTCGCCAACAATAAATAGGGCCAATGTCTATGTTGGTTTCCAAGTACAGCTGGACCTGACTGGGATATTTATGCATGGAAAGATTCCAACTCTGAAGATATCTTTGATACAGATCTTCCGTGCACATTTGTGGCAGAAGATCCATGAGAGTGTTGTCATGGATCTTTGCCAAGTTTTGGATCAAGAGTTGGATGCGTTGGAAATTGAGACTGTACAGAAGGAAACAATTCATCCAAGAAAGAGTTACAAAATGAATAGCTCGTGTGCTGACATCCTCCTTTTTGCTGCACATAGATGGCCAATGTCAAAACCTAGTCTTGTGGCCGAATCGAAGGATGTGTTTGACCAGAAGGCTAGTAACAAATACTGGATAGATGTGCAGCTTCGATGGGGTGACTATGATTCTCATGATATTGAGCGTTATACACGAGCAAAGTTCATGGATTACACAACGGACAACATGTCTATTTATCCATCTCCTACTGGTATGTCACATGTGCATATAGTGATCAACTGAATTTATTCCCTTTTGCGGAGAAGTTATAGTTATTTCTTTTTGCAGGTGTAATGATTGGACTTGACCTTGCTTACAATTTGCATTCCGCCTTTGGTAACTGGTTCCCTGGTTCAAAACCATTGCTTGCCCAAGCCATGAACAAGATTATGAAGGTACTTTTCCCCTTTCAATCATCCATTATTTTCATGAACTGGTTTGCGTGTAGTATATGTTGCAGCTGAAAGTTTCTTAACATCCTTACGTTCCATTATGCAGTCAAATCCTGCACTCTATGTTCTGAGGGAACGCATAAGGAAAGGGTTGCAATTGTATTCTTCAGAGCCCACAGAACCATACTTATCATCTCAGAATTATGGAGAGATTTTCAGCAATCAAATTATATGGTTTGTTGATGACACAAATGTGTACCGAGTGACCATCCACAAGACCTTCGAGGGAAATCTGACGACAAAGCCCATAAATGGTGCAATTTTCATTTTCAATCCTAGGACAGGACAACTATTTTTGAAGGTATATGCAGTTGTTCGATCGTAATTTTCTTGTTTACTTTTGGGCAAACTCCATTGTCCTCTAACTGATGTGTGTGCTGTGCTTTTCATTTACAGGTCATTCACACAAGTGTGTGGGCAGGGCAAAAGCGTCTTGGCCAGCTGGCCAAGTGGAAAACAGCCGAAGAAGTGGCTGCACTTGTAAGGTCTTTGCCAGTTGAAGAACAACCTAAGCAAATTATTGTGACTAGGAAAGGAATGCTTGATCCTCTGGAGGTCCACTTGCTTGATTTTCCGAATATTGTTATCAAAGGAAGTGAGCTGCAGTTACCATTCCAGGCCTGTTTGAAGATAGAGAAATTCGGTGATCTTATACTGAAGGCTACGGAGCCACAAATGGTTCTGTTTAACATATATGATGATTGGTTGAAGAGCATCTCGTCCTATACAGCATTCTCCAGGCTCATCCTCATCCTGCGTGCACTTCATGTGAACAATGAAAAGGCTAAGATGCTACTCAAGCCTGACAAGTCGGTCGTTACTGAGCCTCACCACATCTGGCCTTCACTTACAGATGACCAGTGGATGAAGGTATGTTTAGGGAAATGTACCTATGTCTCCTTGAATATTGCCAGACCGTGATATTGTGAAAGAAATTTTTGTTAGTGGCTTTATACTCATAAGGTTAATCTTCTCTTTGGCTTGTTCAGCGGCACACCTGTGAGATTGTGTTGATTTTAATTTGGTGGAATCCTTTCTGATTCTAAGTTGTGCATGGTGCAGGTCGAAGTAGCGCTTAGAGATCTCATTCTCTCAGACTATGCAAAAAAGAACAATGTCAACACATCAGCATTGACGCAGTCTGAGATCCGTGATATTATACTTGGAGCTGAGATTACTCCTCCATCCCAGCAGCGACAACAGATAGCTGAGATTGAGAAACAGGTAATAATCTTGGTCCTTCTGGTACATATCAATGTGCCCCCTTTGTTTTTAGAGCTTCAGTTGCTAATGTGCATCATCTTTTCAGGCCAAGGAAGCAAGTCAACTGACAGCGGTTACCACAAAGACCACTAATGTCCATGGTGATGAGTTGATTGTTACTACTACAAGTCCCTATGAGCAAGCTGCCTTTGGCTCTAAAACAGATTGGCGTGTGAGAGCAATTTCTGCAACAAATCTCTATCTCCGCGTGAACCACATATACGTAAATTCAGAGGACATAAAGGTAAAACTTGCTTTGCAATATGTTGTTTTAACTAGACATACTATACCTTTAGCACCTTGTTAGTAGAATCACTGTTACAATGGAAAAAAATTCAGTGTTGATATTTTGGTTTTTAACTGTTTGTGCAGGAGACTGGATATACGTACATCATGCCAAAGAATATTCTGAAGAAATTCATTTGCATTGCTGATCTGCGGACACAAATTGCTGGTTACTTATATGGTGTAAGTCCACCAGATAATCCTCAGGTGAAGGAAATCCGGTGTATTGCAATGCCTCCACAGTGGGGGACACATCAGCAGGTGCATCTACCTTCCGGTCTTCCGGAGCATGATTTTCTCAATGACTTGGAGCCTTTGGGATGGATGCACACACAACCAAATGAACTTCCTCAGTTGTCTCCACAGGTTTACTTCTGTTCATCTTGTTTTATTGTGCAGCTGTAATGAGTTATATTCCAGGGGTTAGGTGGGGTTTGTTTAGCCAATTGCTCTGTGCATAGCTCTTCTGATGTGTAAATCTTCTGAATAACAGGATGTTACTTCACATGCTCGGATCCTGGAGAACAACAAACACTGGGATGGAGAGAAGTGTATTATATTGACATGCAGTTTCACACCAGGGTCTTGTTCGTTAACTGCATATAAGCTGACGCCAACTGGGTATGAATGGGGACGTGCTAACAAAGATACAGGAAGCAACCCTCATGGTTACCTGCCGACTCATTACGAGAAGGTCCAGATGCTGTTGAGTGACCGATTCCTTGGCTTTTACATGGTAAGTTTGCTAGTCTTGTGGATTATTCAGTTGGATTTTTGATTGCTGCTCCCGACCCGTGTTTCCTGCATCTCCCTGCTTCCTTCCATGCCACTTAAGTCTAGAACTGAATCTAAATGTAACTTTGTTGTGCAGATACCTGATAATGGTCCATGGAATTACAACTTCATGGGAGTGAAGCACACTGTTAGCATGAAGTACGGGGTGAAGTTAGGTACACCTCGGGAGTACTACAATGAGGATCACCGACCAACACATTTCCTGGAATTCAGCTATATGGAGGAAGGTGACACTGCTGAGGCAGATCGGGAAGATACATTTACATAATACATTGCCATTCAAATATATGTTGGTAAGATTACCCTCAGGTCTTTGGTAAGTCTGAATCAAGTGGCGACTTTGTTGTGGTATGTCTCAGCTATAGTCCATAGTGTAGTGGCTGATGATATTAGATGGAACCTACAAGTTGTAAATATATGAATGAATTTGTAGCTTGATACCAGTGTATGCTTTTTATCGAAGGGCGGGACGGATGTGGCGGCTCGGCTTTGTGGTTTAGGATTTAGCTCGCACCTTTTAGATGCGGCAAAACAGATGTTTGTACACTTAGAGAAAGCAAATCTTGTTTTTGGTGTTTTGATTTATTCCTTAATCCTGTTGCCGTAGGAGCCTTCTATGCCGAGAGCAATGCAACTGAACAGTGTAAGGTTTAGAATGTTAATGAATTAAACGCTAGTAATGTCTTTATTCATATTAAAGGTTTGAGATATTGCATCGTTGCATGTTTTTCGGACATGTATAACTCCTGAAAAAGGTAATATTTGTCATATGCTCGTCTCATTTGAGCTTCCCTTTGTATCGTTTACAGCAATCTTTACTAATTGCGACTCGAGCTTCCTTTGTTTCCTTCAACTTCTAGCAGCCGACTTGTATGGGAGCGTGAGGCGTAATGGATTTGATTATTTGGCAGCACAAATTCTGGCAATTTTCAAAAAAATTGTTGCATGTTGTCATACTGAGTACGTTACTTTTAAGTACGTTGACGTTAAGCTACAAAACATTATATGTCGGTGAAGTAACTGGTCAACTGAACCGTGCATTTTCAACACGGAGAAAAGATAGGAGTCTACTATAATTTCATATAAGAAATTTAAATTATGGGGTTTCAGAAAAAAGTTAAAACTTTGAGACCATAATAAGTGTAACGATTCAATAGTAAGAACCTAAAGTTAAATCTTGGATTCTCCTCCGCAAAAAAGTCAGCGGCCACAATAATACTGTTAAAGATGTCAGAGCAGCTTCCTGCTTGTATTAGCTGTTTCCAAGAACTTGGATGGAAATGTCACTTGCAAAGGCAAAAGCTATGTATCTCAACTTCCACAACAATAATCTGAACATCAAATATGCAGAACAAAGCAGTCTCTATTTGCTTCTAGATCGACTCAACTGGTAAGAACTCAGATAAGAAAAGTGACAAATAAGAGAAGCCGGTATGAGTGGAGACAATCAATTCCAACAATAATGTTCAGATCAACATTAATATCGAAATCATGCGAGATAAGCAAAGATTATACAGACACTTGAGAGGCAGGAGAGGGAAGCACATCATTTCATCATATTTCATTGTGTTTGACATTGCTTAGTCAAGAAAATTAGGGAAGGTGGGAAAGTTCCAGTTCGACAATGTTAGATGCTCACACGGGGCCACAAATACATTATGGAATGGAGCAACTTACTCTCTAAAGAACATATGCTAGAGAAATGGCAAATCCATTGGACATAACCATCTACTAAAGACTTAATATTGTAACGCGCAAAAAAGACAATACCATAAATTCATTTCAGTTGTGTAAAGAGAACTAAACTACGTGATTGCTCTTCGCCGCAGGAGATCGGTCAGATAGCTAATGAACCACTTATTCCATTACATTTGTTACGCAACGCCTTCCTGATGATCTTTGGAAGGGCAACGTAAGGCTAAGCAACCGATGTCAGTGAGGTTGCTGTCCGCCAATGAGGTCCTCGCCGCACGCTAGACTAGATTGTCAGTGCCGTGCGGGAAAACCAATGTCGTAAGCAATTGCGGAAGCTGAGAGAGAATTGGGTTTTGAATGCTGATGATGATTTTATTGATGACTGAAAATGATGATTACAATGATGCGGTGTCGAGGGGGAGAGACACCAGAAAATGCTGATTGAAATGTTTGATTGTTTGGTCCCCCTTAATTAATGCTTAAAAAAAATAAACCAACATTACAAGACTAGTCCTAATAAAGCTGTAGAAGCACACTGAAATGAAAATGATGAAAACTAGTCTATGATTACAATGAAAAGGACTTAGATTATTACAAGGAAAAACTAAGTCCGATGGCAGCATCTTTGTCTTGCGGGTC